AGCAAAGTTTCACCACTGACTACCCTGCAAAACAATACTAACACCTCAACTTGTGGAGCCAGCTGGAACTCACTTGACCTGCACTGGGAGCCAGAGTGGAAAGCATGTGCTGTATCTGAGGACAAGTCTATGCTATGGGGACAGGTCTATCAAATTGTGTAGCTTAGGGTTACATTAATAGCGTAACTCAAATCACTGTAAGCAAAGTTTCACCACTGACTACCCTGCAAAACAATACTAACACCTCAACTTGTGGAGCCAGCTGGAACTCACTTGACCTGCACTGGGAGCCAGAGTGGAAAGCATGTGCTGTATCTGAGGACAAGTCTATGCTATGGGGACAGGTCTATCAAATTGTGTAGCTTAGGGTTACATTAATAGCGTAACTCAAATCACTGTAGTTAGATCTACTTACTGCAGGGTCCAGAGTGCGCTGGGTCAACAGAAGAAACTCTCCTGATGACTCCCCTTGCTCATCTTGCTCCAGTGGAGTATTGGAGTGGGTGGGAGAGTGAGTGATCAGTGGTTAAGTAGGTTTTAATTGAACCTGCTACCCCCAGTGGATTGATTGCTGCAGTGTCGATCCATCCCATAGTGGAGACAAGCCCTGAGGCTTGTTTTATGTCACAGAGTAGGTCAACATAACTGTGTCAGTGTCTACACTACGTGCTTGCTCTTGTCTATGCAAGTTCCCTTCTACACTAACATGACTCCACCTCCGCAAGAGGCGTAGGGCTTATGTTGGTGTAGCTAGCGTGACATGGTGACTGTATGGACACTGGTACTCTGGCTGTTGGCCATCGCTCTTGTCAATACAACAAAGTCAGTTCATGACTCCAAGATGGGCTTCTGTCTGGTCTCCATTCCAAGCCAGGTTTCTACCTTGGGCTGCTGCCTGGGCTCCCCATTTGCAGTCCTGCTGCCCTCTGAGGTCTCAGCTCCTCACTGGAAGCATAGCAGCTAGACTCCAGGTGCAGATCTCCTCGTCAGAGACAAGAAGCCTCCAGCAGCTGCCCGCGCACCCCACTCCCAGAAGGGAGCTGCACGGAGCTGTCTCCTTGTCAGTTGTTGGAAGCGCGCTTGGTGAGGACATGCATCACTGACAGAAGGCCGAGATTATGGACATCAGTCGCTGCACTGATTATTGTGGTAGCTGTTAGTTGACCTAATGTAGATTACAGTACAATCTTAAGTCAGACACTCCCTGCACTGCAGACCTAAGTTCCCACTAAGCTACGTGGCCACACACTAGCTATTCTGTCCTGTGCAGAGGCTCAGGGCTTCTACGTGAACAGATGCCTCTCTCCAGACCCCGAAGCTGCTGTAGTTGGGGAAGAGAGGACCCTCCTGTGGACTTGCCAGCTGGAGTGATGGGCCATTCCCCCAGCCTCTCAGGAAAGTGGGGTGCCAGTGGACGGACCCCTACACTAGTGGGAGTTGGGGTCTACTCTGGAGTTGTCTGGCAGTGCAACTGCAGCTGTGCTGCTGTAACGTTTCCAGTGTGTACACATCCTGAGAGGTTGCAGGTCAGGTGCTCTCCACTTCTAATACAAGCTACAGAAATGGACACTTGTGCTGGTTCTGAGGCTAAATGCTGCATTTATTAACTCCAGCACCGTTTTTCCTGAACACTTCAGTTAAGAAGTCTGTGTGTGGCTACCTGGCCATTTTATAGGAAAGCAAGTGTATGTAGAACTCCAGTGTTCCTTTTGCTCTTTGACTTTTGGAAGTGATGTATATTTGGAGTTCTCTACTGCATTTGTTTGGTTTGGTGGGGCAGTTATGTGAACTGTGCTGTCGCAAACTGGTGATAGCTATCTTTCCCCTGGAACTCGGTGTGCACACAGTACCTTGCTATTTGCCCTGTTGTGGTCCTAGTATTGAAAACTCAGCCACTGGACTGTCACAGTGCCTCCGTGACATCAAGAGTCCAAGTCCTCTTTTCAAACATCACTGAAAAGTTCCATTTGATGGCTCCTTAAATTGTGGATATGTTTACTTTGAAGACACTGCTGCTTCTCTTACTTTCTTGGTAGAGTAAAGCCTTTGTCGGTATTAACAGAGATTACTAAAGTTGATGTGTATGTTTGCTGCTGTGATTACAAAATGGGTGAAATTGCGGAACGAGGGGAGGAGTATTTTAATTGCATTCATGTCCTTATGTTTGTTAGATTTCTGCTTTCAGATAGCAGTAGCTTTCACAGCCTGCGCAATTAATTTTTCTACGGGGTTCCTTGGTTTGTTTCTCTTCCAACTATTAATCTGAATTGTTGGCTGGTACGTTCATATTTTAATGGTGGCAACTCAACAGAGAACACAGAAAGAATAAAACTAACTTGCTGCCATCTGTTAACATACTTGTATGATCAAATTTAAAGTGCTATCAGTCTACAAAGCTATTTTGTTAAATAGCACTTCCTTACTTTGCATATCTTCTCACTGCATCTCTGAGGCATATCTGTTTACTTTATTGAGACAAACAACTCATTAGCCCTGTGTTGTGGGTACAGCCTTGGAAAAACAAGCTGGATTCTGTTCTGCTTCAGTATAATTTAACTGACTTCTGATCACAGAGCTTCTATTATCATTAGAAAATTCAAGGTGTGGCTCTTTTTTCAGACCCCAGACTGAACTTGAACTTTCTTTTGATTTTTTTTTTTTTGAAAACTTTAAATGTCACGCAGAAACCAACTGAAAGTAGATAAATCCTGTAATGTTAATTTTCTGACTTTATTACCCAATAATGGGTTGAACCCTAAAGTTGCTTACTTCCTCATAGAAATTTGAGGGTGCCCAGTTTTCTCAGTGGGATAATTACTTCTATAACCAGGGCTTTGGAGCGGAGCCTGGAGGTGAGCAGTGGAGCTGCAGGTTTTTGCCCGGAGCTGGAGCACAGAAAATCATGACTGCTCCAGTTGGGGTGTGTGGGTTTTTTTTTCTTCCATTTTCAGTCCAAACTGAATGATATTTTAGCAAGAAAGTCCTAAAGGTGCCAAATGTTTCAGAGTGTATAACAATTGATATTAACATATGCTTTACCACTTTATGTAATGTGTCAGTTATTCTCACTTTGGCCGAAATCAAAATTTAATGTACAGGTACAGAATTACAAAGTTTTGGAGATATGTTTTATTAAAGAATCAGATAATTATCAGACATCCGGCAACACTGCAGACTGCTCCCACCCTCGTGCCAAGGTTAGGCGAGTACATACTCACATAGATTAGTTAGTCAGATTGGTATGTTTATTTTCAACCTTGTAACATGTAGCCTCGTTACTTCCCAACAATTAATGTTGTAGAACAGTGATAGCACGTATTAACACTATGGCACATACCAAATTTCATTGATATATCTATATTAAAGCATTTTTGAGAGATCAATTAAAAATTTGGAAAATATTTAGAATATTTTTACTGCAAAATTTCATAAGAAAAACTAGTGTGCAATTAATAAATACAAACTTATATTAATTATGTATATTAAAAATACTTCTTTCTTCAATAAAACTGCAAAAAACATTAAAATATATTTTAATAATAATTTCGTGTAAAAAGAAAATGCAATAATTTTTGTCCAGAATATTCAAAATAAATTCGAAGTACCTTAAGTGGTTAAGATATCATAAGCAGGTACATTTATTTAAAAAAAATGTAATGCTTTTGTTCATTGCTTTTCGAAGATCATAACAAGAAACATTTGGATGCAGTAGCAGCACAAGAAGATTTGGCCATGGCTTCAACAAAAAATCATATCTGCCCCCCCATGATTGATAGCCAATTTACAGAAAAGGATCTCAACAATGTCTTTACTTTTGAATTTGAAAAGCCCAAATTTGGGCTTTTGGGAAAAGCAAAGAAGAAATTGGCAATGTGCAAGGTGGAAAAAGAAATGAATAGCAAACTCAGACCATGTAGCTTCAAGACAAGTGAAGCAAGTACCATGAAAAGTTTCAACCTTTGGTGACACGTAAAACGTAACCATCCTGAAAACTAGGTGGCTCTGGTTACAAAAAAAGGACCAGGAAGATGAGGCAAAACAGAAAGCTGACGCAGCTAAATGACATTCATCTGGCTCTTTGAAAACTCCTGGAGAAAAGATTTTTTGCGGAGCTTCATCTGAAAAGAAACCCAAAATTGAGCAAACAAAACTTGACTCATATTTGAAGTCCTCAAAAGTTAGTCACCATGAATGCCAATACTTTCCATGAAGGGCTGGTGGAAATGGTTTGCCTCAGTTCAACACCGCTCATTACCTTCAGGTTAAAGAACAAAGGATTCCAAAAAATTGCAGGTGAAATGGGTCAGCAGCTTGGCACTTCGACGGGGCACGATGCAGTTTGTCATTTAGTTGTCAGCACAGCTGAGTCTGGTCACAAAGAGCTTACGAAAGCTTTGGAGCAAAAATTGTGCTCCCTGAAAATGGATGTGGCAACCCGTGGAAACCGAAATTTCCTTGCAATCTGTGCTCAGTACTATGAAGAAGGAAAAGATAAAGCTGTGGTAAGAACCTTGGACATAATCGACACTGAAGGGCATCACAGTTGTTCCTACGTGAAAAGTCAAGTAAAAGCTATTTTAGAAAAATTTGGGATCAGTGAAATGCAAATGCTGAGCATGTGCGTTGACAATGCAGCAAACATGACGTGTGCTGTCAAAAATTTCAGCGAGGACAATGAAACCACTTCTACCTCTGAGAACAGGGATGTGGACAGAACTGAAGCTATTTTGCTAGATGAAGGAACTAAAGGAATGGATGAAATTGAACTCAATATGGATGCTGCTGCACAATAGGTTAATGACCCTAGCCTCATACTTCCAACATGGCTTTATGAGGAGGTGTGGTATTCACACTCTTCAGTTGGCAATCTGGGATGGACTGAACAAAGAACATGCGAAGAAATTTCTGGCAAATTCTACAAGTCGTTGTCTAACTACAAACCCCAAGTATTCGAAGTGTTCTGCTTGATCTGCATGGGGTAACTCAATCATTGGATACTGTGACTCGCTGGGGTTCAACATTTGCGATGATTGATCGCCTTCTCGTTTTTCAGTCTTATTGTGAACAAGTGGCTGCTGCTGGAACAAGAGAACTCAAGTTTACAAAAGCTGAATGGGACGAAGTGAGAACCTGCAAGACCTCTTGGCAAAGCCAAACCAAACAACTGTGAATCTTCAAGCTGTCGATGTAACCCTGGGAGTTTTAATGAAGGAATGGCGAAAATTGTCAAAATTCTTTCAAGAAAATGGTGGACAAATTGCAGAAGGAATTCTATCCTCTATGCAGAAACGCGGAGAGAAGCTTTTTGACAGTAATTCATTTCCTTGCTGGAGTGTACGTTGACACACGGTATCGGATTCTTCTTACCTCAAGGGAAATATCCAAGGCGAAACAGGTTGAAGGAAAAAAAACACAACAAAAGGAGTCACCAACAATTGAATTTGCGGCTTTGGAAAGTTCACATCCTTCAGAAATAGCAGGCTGTTCTCAGACTTCCGTCTCCACTCTGAACTTGTTCGAGCGTCCATCCCTGAGATGTCCTCAACCATGACAGGGAAATGGAGATAATTCAAGCACCAATTCTTCAGAAGATGACGACTTCGAAAAGGAATTGGATAAACAAGAAAGACGCCGGCGAGTTTCTGCGATTCATAATTGTAATGAAGCATTATTCGAGAGAAACTTTCGGGAAGATTGTGAGGAGATGGAGTCTATTGGTAGGCTAAAAGTTAAGTCTGTTTTTGAGGCCATTCTCAGCTACCCACACCGCATTCAAGCTGCCTGTAAAATTGTTTCGAGCATGCCAACAACTCAAGCTAGTGTAGAGCAATTGTTTTAGGCTTTAAAGTTAATTTTAAATATTCTGCAGCAGGCTATGAAAGATTAATTGACTGCTGCAATAATTTTTTACAGATTTGAATTATGAATGATTCTAGTTTGTATCATTGTTGATGACATTTAAATTTTAAAACTCTGAATAAAAATGTTTTTTCAAAATTACAGGATACACTTTTTTATTTAGTTAAAAATTAATTTGAGTTGGAGCACGGAGTGGAGCTGGAGCAGTCACTATTGGTGCCGGAGTGGAGCTGGAGCAGAGTAATTCAAAAACTTGATTGCTCCAAATCCCTATCTATAACTATTAATTGTCATGTGCATGTTTATATGCTTGAAAGGGAAATGTGGTAATAGTTTGAAGAACAGTGGTCAGTCATGATAAAAAGAATTATTTACTTTCTGGTATATAGAACTTTACAAATGTAGGGCAAAACCCAAAGATCTTGGGAGCAACAGTGGGAACTGCTTGGGCAGCAGAGGAGGTGTGGAGACTGAGAAATGTCAAGTAAGAATCCCTGGGAGAAATGGGTTGGAGTATATTTCAAATCTATCCATGACTTGCTGAAACCATTTGGCTGCACAAACCAGACACTGAAGAGGTTGTGTCTGTCTTTGAGAAAACAGCCCCTCTTTGGTGGTTCCGTACATGTTTTATACCCTTCTGTTTTACCATTTTATAAAATAACTGTAAGGCCCGTATATTGTATGCATTTTGATTCAAAATGCCGATTATAGTTAGGAGGATTTACTGCCGTGGTCTCCGGCTCTGTTGATGATGGTAACCAGAAGGCTGCTTGTGGGTGTGCTCAATGATGTGGGTCCGATGATCACAGCAGACTCCGAGAGGGCCCTAAAGGCCACAAACCAGAGAAGGATCGAAGGTGCCAGGCCAGGCTTGTTAAGCGAAGTACAGGAACAGTTGTCAGCAGACTTTACTGAACCACCATACACGTGTACTTGCCACAATGGAATGACTCAATCCGTGGGAAATTTCTACTGCCCCCTAGGTCATACAAAGACTGTTCCTGCCCCAAGACACCACATTATATACAGGTACAAACAAATCACACCTCACTGCTGACATATCAGGTTGCCACCCTCTGACGTTGTCAGGTGACCACCCTCTGACACTACTTAGATACCACCCATCCCCCTGTACCTCGTGGTTTGATTAGATCATCTCTATCCATCATGCTGTCATTTTAGACTCTTTCCTGAATGTGGGTCGGTATCTGTGAGGAGTGGGTACCAAGATCTTTTCTAATGAGCTGGTGGTTACTTAACATCCTTAGTGGACACGCACACCTAGACTTCAGCATTGCTTTTGACACAATCCCACATATTATTCTGATAAATAAGCTGGAGAAATGCGGGCTTGACAGGACTACCATTAAGTGGATACATAATTAACTGTAAACCAAAAGCAAATAATGAAATGCTCTCCGATTGGAGGGAGGTTTCGAGTAGGGTTTCATGGGAATGTGTTCTGGGTCTGGTGGGGTTTAACATCTTTATTTAATGACCTGGCTGTAAGTATAGAGAGCATAGTGATTAAGTTTGCAGTGACATTTAGCCAAGACCAATGTAAGATGTTGCACTTAGAGAAGAAAAACCAAATGCACAACTACAGAATAGAGGAACACTGGCTTTCCAAGATCTGGGAGTGGTGGTAGATCACCGCCTCAACATGAGTCAGTAATGCAATGCTGTGACAAAAACAAATGCAATTTTAGGTTGCCTTTACAGCGGCATAGCATGCAAGTCACGGTATGTGATAGTGCTGTGCTTGGCACTGGTTAGGCCTCAGCTGGAGTACAGTTTTTCCTTTTTTGGTTACCAGTATACTAAAAAAGATGCAGAGAGACTGAAAAGGATCCAGAGGTGAGTGACAATGCACCAAAGACGACCAGAGTGATGGAGTGCTCACCATGGGAGTAAAGGCTGAAGGACTTGTGTGTTTTTAGCTTGGGGGGGGGGGGGGGGGAGATGATGGTGGTCTTCAAATATTTGAACGGCTGCTATAAAAAGATGGCGAAATCATGCTCTTTGTCAGAGGGCAGCACTAGAGGCAATGGGCTCAAATTATAGCCTAGCATCTTGAGATTAAATCGCCACAAAAACTTCCTACCTGCAAGAACGGTAGGACAATGGCAGGGGACACTGCCTAGGGAGGATGTGGAGGCTCCTTCACTGGAGGACTTTGAAAGGAGGCGGGATAACCATCTGTCTTGGATGGTTAGACACAACAAGTCCTGCACCTTGGCGGGGTTATGATTCTTGCAGTCCTTTCAAACCTTATGGGCCTATGATTGCAATAGTCTCGGATTTGGTCCCAAGCTTTAGTGCCACACTGCAATTTGGTCTCTCTTTATATACACACACACACACACACACACCCATTCTGCCAATGGTTCGATCCTCATTTTGAAAGAAGTCTGTGGGCGGAGCAGTTTAGTAAACATTTATCCCTGATCCTTTTTTTAACTATTCTGAACTTGAGTATTAGTAGGGATGTAAAATCCTGGTTAATCAGTTAACTGACTAGCACGATCTTACCGTTTCAGCCCCCCAGCCCTCACGCTGGGGCTGCTCCCCGGGGAACTGGTTAACCGTTACCCGGTAAGCATCATCCAGTGAGGGTGTGGTGTGGTGCCTCTTGTTGGATGGAAACCTATTCTGCACACTTAGAGCAGCTTTTTGCCAACATGGAACATAGTTTTGACATGGACCCTGCCATTTGAGAAGTGTTCATGGTTTGCTGGTGAAGTGTCATCGGTTCTGGACAACATTGACTTTTTTTCTTAAATATTCTAAATCAAACACTTGGGATCAATGCAAAATTCTCAATCTTGCAGAGCGGGGAGGAAAGGAAACTGTCTGGGAAAAGGTGCATTAGAAAACTACCATTGCTACACCCTTGGAGGAGAACTAGCCATTCCTTTCGGAAGGGTTACAGCAACAAGTGAATAATGAGCCCTTTCAGAGGGAGAAAGTGATCCTGAGCACTGCAGTTCCTGTAATCGTTGCTTGGCGCATTGAAACAGAGCCACTGTGCACTATTGTGCTGCTCCTGAATTCAAACTCTCTTTATGCACTGTAGGTGATTCATCGCAAGCTCTCTGCCCTGCTTTTCGCGACACTCCTTCACGTGTGCATTAATTCTCCGTTGTGCCGAACAGAATCCTAACACGCCACTATTTCTGTTTCCGCCAGCAGCCTGGAATAGTGTCCCCTTTCAAACGAGTCTTCCTGAAAGGTGAAAAGGGTCGGGATAAAAAGGCCCAGGAGAAGGTTACGGAAAGACGACCTCTTCATACAGTGCAGCTGTCCTTGCCCGATCGAGTTGAACCAGACATATTGTTGAATGACTACATTGAAAAGGAAGTCAAGGTAACTTTTTGGGCTGTCTTTCTTTCATCTTTCAGCCTCCTCATCCTGTCACGCTCCTGGCCACGGTCAGTAGCTGGTTTACTAGATTCCTTTGCTGCAGGGCACATTGCAGAATAGGGTCCTCTGCATTAAACTGTGTTTGGAATCGCACCCGACTTCACTCCCGCAGCGCTCTGCTCTTTTCTCTCTGCCTCTCTTTTGGGGAACACTTCTGACCTGGAGATGCTCACGTCTGTCTTATGATCTTCGGCGAGTGTGAGCGCTCCGCAGCAAGTGCAGGGGACACGGAAGCGTGAAGGTGCAAAGTTGCCTCTCTGCCTTAAAGCTGCTGCAGTGGCTCCCCCCTTCATTTTAGGGTCAAGTTCAAAATGTCAGACCTCCCCTTCCTCTGGCTGACCTAATGGACTGGGCGTGCACATGCGTGATCTCGACACTCTTCATGCAAGACTGTTCTCTTCAGCTTCTGCCATCTGGAACAGCTCTCTTGTGTATTTCCTCCTCCTCAAGCGCCCGCTCTGACCTCTCAGCTAAAAGTGATATATTCCTGGTCACTCATTAATGCTGTAACTATATTTAACTCCTGCGAAGCCTTTGGGACATAGCCTCTATGAAAAATGCTAATTAGGATATTGTCTAATCTCTTGATACAAAAATCTAGTTGGAATGAGGTTGATTCTTGCTGGAGAATGACAGCGGTCAGTAAACCGTTGTGCTAGATCGGTGGTTTTCAGACTGGGACATGTGTACCCCAAGGGATACGTGAGCTCTTATGGAGGGGAGGGGGTAAGAACATAAGAATGGCCACACTGGATTAGGCCAGAGGTCCATCTGGCCCAGTATCCTGTCTTGACTGGCCAATGCCAGGTGCTCCAGAGGGAATGAACAGAACAGGCAGTCATCAAGTGATCCGTTCCCTGCTGCTCACACCCAACATCTGGCAAACAGGCTAGGAACACTCTCCCTGTTGTGCGAAATCCCGTAATGGCAGACAATGCATTTTATTTAGGAAGACTTGGCAATCTAACCAGAATATACTTATCTCGGGTGGTGGCGGGGTAGGGGATGTGGCAGACCACATTGTCCAAGAGGAAGGGTTCCTCAGCCTAAAAAGTTTGAAAACCACTGTGCTAGATCATGCTCTTCCAGGGTTAGCTGCTCAGCCTTTCTCCAGCTGAGAGGTGCTTTGAAGCCAGGTGGGATAAAGAGTGAACCACCCTGTGCTGCTTCATTGCTCGTGCTCCGTTGTGAGCAGGCATCAGGTGACCGCAAATGTGGCATTGAGGGAGCAACCTGCCAATACTCCCCTCAAACCAGGCTCAAGCTTATTTCCAACTGTCTTTTTCTTCTTTCAATTGACCCCACTTGATATGAGTACACAGGGAAGGATTTCAGTGTTGGTTTATCTCTCTCGTTGTAATGGATCGTCTTTTCCTTCCCAGTATTTAGGCCAGCTGACATCCATCCCAGGGTACCTGAATCCCTCCAGTCGTACTGAAATACTGCATTTGATAGACAATGCAAAGGTGAGTGCTATCCATTCCAACCCTTACTCAGTGAATTATACCCGCCGTACTGTCGCTACTGTTCTTATTCAGCGTTTGCGTGTGGTACTGGAGCTAAGGCTGCTGCTGCTGGGCAGAGAGGTTAAAGTCTGATCTTTGTTCTGGGAAGACTTGCAGCCCAAGAACTAGAAGATGATGCAATGCATGGTTAGATGGTTCAGGTCACAGGACTGCAGGAGAAGCTTAAGCAAAGAGTTATTGTCCAGTCATGTGAAATGTATTACAGCTTGAACCTCTCTCGTCCGGGACTCTGTGGTCGGCAACATCTGTGGACAGTAGGACCACAGATGATGCTAGACCAGAGAGCCCCAACTTAAGAGGTTGAGAGCGACAGCCAGTCTAGTCAGGGGCAGCCCGCAGGACCAATGACCTGGGAGCAGAGAGCCACCCTTTTGGGGACAATGGCAGAGAGCCCCAAGAGTGGCTGCTGTCTTGCGCAGGGCCAGGTGGCTGGAGGCAGGAAACCCCAGGAGCAGCAGACCAGGGAACCCTGAGAGCAGCTGCTGCCTTGTGTGGGGCAGGGAGCAGAGCCCTATGAGCAAGCTGGGGGCAGCAGAACCAGGCAGGTAGCCTGGAGGAGGTCAGGCCTCTGGGTTCTCCTGGGGCAGCAGCTAGGAGGGGCGCCCCAGGGAGAGCCCAGATGCCTGACTTCCACTGGTCCGGCAGATTCCCTTGTTTAGGACCACTCAGGTCCCAAGGGTGCTGGACCAGGGAGGTTCAACCTGTGGTATGTATCCTGTTGGGTCCAGTTCTCAGAAACTTAATAGTGAAGGTCATCAGTGCATGACCAATTATCAGGGGTCCAGAAAATCTGAACTGCAGACAGGTGATGTGAGGGTGCTCCTCTCCTGGGAGCACGGTGCCACCATGTTGTGCCCGGGGATCATAGAATCATAGAATCATAGAATAATAGGACTGGAAGGGACCTCGAGAGGTCATCGAGTCCAGCCCCCCGCCCTCAAGGCAGGATCAAGCTCCGTCTACACCATCCCTGACAGATGTCTATCTAACCTGTTCTTAAATATCTCCAGAGAGGGAGATTCCACCACCTCCCTTGGCAATTTATTCCAATATTTGACCACCCTGACAGTTAGGAATGTTTTCCTAATGTCCAATCTAAACCTCCCCTGCTGCACTTTAAGCCCATTACTCCATGTCCTGTCCTCAGAAACCAAGAGGAACAAATTTTCTCCTTCCTCCTTGTGACACCCTTTTAGATATTTGAAAACCACTATCATGTCCCCCCTTAATCTTCTTTTTTCCAAACTAAACAAGCCCAGTTCATGAAGCCTGGCTTCATAGGTCATGTTCTCTAAACCTTTAATCATTCTTGTCGCTCTTCTCTGTACCCTTTCCAATTTCTCCACATCTTTCTTGAAATGTGGCGCCCAGAACTGGACACAGTACTCCAGCTGAGGCCTAACTAGCGCAGAGTAGAGCGGCAGAATGACTTCACGAGTTTTGCTTACAACACACCTGTTAATACAACCTAGAATCATATTTGCTTTTTTTGCAACAGCATCACACTGTTGACTCATATTCAACTTGTGGTCCACTATGACCCCTAGATCCCTTTCCGCCATGCTCCTTCCTAGACAGTCGCTTCCCATCTTGTATGTATGGAACTGATTGTTCCTTCCTAAGTGGAGCACTTTGCATTTCTCTCTATTAAACCTCATCCTGTTTACCTCCGACCATTTCTCTAACTTGCTAAGGTCATTTTGAATTATGTCCCTATCCTCCAAAGAAGTCGCAACCCCACCCAGTTTGGTATCATCTGCAAACTTAATAAGAGTACTCTCTATCCCAATATCTACATCATTGATGAAGATATTGAACAGTACGGGTCCCAAAACAGACCCTTGAGGAACTCCACTTGTTATCCCTTTCCAGCAGGATTTAGAACCGTTAACAACAACTCTCTGACTACGGTTATCCAGCCAATTATGCACCCACCTTATCGTGGCCCTATCTAAGTTATATTTGCCTAGTTTATCAATAAGAATATCATGCGAGACCGTATCAAATGCCTTACTAAAGTCTAGGTATATGACATCCACCGCTTCTCCCTTATCCACAAGGCTCGTTATCTTATCAAAGAAAGCTATCAGATTAGTTTGGCATGACTTGTTCTTCACAAACCCATGCTGGCTATTCCCTATCACTTTATTACCTTCCAAGTGTTTGCATATGATTTCCTTAATTACCTGCTCCATTATCTTCCCTGGGACAGACGTTAAACTGACCGGTCTATAATTTCCTGGGTTGTTCTTATTCCCCTTTTTATAGATGGGCACAATATTTGCCCTTTTCCAGTCTTCTGGAATCTCCCCTGTCTGCCATGATTTTTCAAAGATCATAGCTAAAGGCTCAGATACCTCCTCTATCAGCTCCTTGAGTATCCTGGGATGCATTTCATCAGGACCTGGTGACTTGCTGACATCTAACTTTCCTAAGTGATTTTTAACTTGTTCTTTGTGTATCCTATCTTCTAAACTTACCCTCTCTCTGCTTGTATTCACTACGTTAGGCACACCTCCAGACTTCTCGGTGAAGACCGAAACAAAGAAGTCATTGAGCATCTCCGCCATTTCCAAGTTCCCTGTTACTGCTTCTCCCTCCTCACTAAGCAGTGGGCCTACCCTGTCCTTGGTCTTCCTCTTGCTTTTAATGTATTTATAAAAGGTCTTCTTGTTTCCCTTTATGCCTGTAGCTAGTTTGATCTCATTTTGTGCCTTTGCCTTTCTAATCTTGCCCCTGCATTCCCGTGTTGCTTGCCTATATTCATCCTTTGTTAGTTGTCCTAGTTTCCATTTTTTATATGACTCCTTTTTTATTTTGAGATCATGCAAGATCTCCTTGTTAAGCCAAGCTGGTCTTTTGCCATATTTTCTATCTTTCCTACACAGCGGAATTGTTTGCTTTTGGGCCCTTAACAACGTCCCTTTGAAATACTTCCAACTCTCCTCAGTTGTTTTTCCCTTCAGTCTTGCTTCCCATGGGACCTTACCTACAAGTTCTCTGAGCTTATCAAAATCTGCCTTCCTGAAATCCATAACCTCAATTGTGCTGGTCTCCCTTCTACCTTTCCTTAAGATCATGAACTCTATTATTTCATGATCACTGTCCCCTATACTGTCTTCCACTTTCAAGTTCTCAACTAGTTCCTCCCTATTTGTTAAAACCAAATCCAGAACAGCTTCTCCTCTGGTAGCTTTTTCAACCTTCTGAAACAGAAAGTTGTCTCCAATGCAGTCCAGAAACTTATTGGATAGCCTGTGCCTCGCTGTGTTAGTTTCCCAACATATGTCTGGATAGTTGAAGTCCCCCATCACCACCAAATCTTGGGCTTTGGATAGTTTTGTTAATTGTTTAAAAAAGGCCTCATCCACCTCTTCCACCTGGCTAGGTGGCCTGTAGTAGACTCCTAGCATGATATCACCCTCGTTTTTTACCCCTTTTAGCTTAACCCAGAGACTCTCTACACAGCTATCTCCTACGTTCATCTCCACTTCAGTCCAAGTGTGTACATTTTTAATATACAAGGCAACCCCTCCTCCCTTTTTTCCCTGTCTGTCCTTCCTGACAGAATGTGCTCAGCATGTTTGTCTTAGACCTGCCCACTCTTCCCTGTTGAAGAAACAAAAACATGAACAGGGAAGAACTGTTCATTCTTCTTTTAAAAGACTAGGGGGGCAGTGTCCCCTGCTCTCTCTGCTTCCAAACTCAGCCCCTTGCCATTATAGGCCGTAGTCCCCCCCATTTCCAACCCATCTCCCAGTCCCGCACATTCAGCACTTACCTGTGGGCTTTGCTCACCTGCCCCCGACAAACCCCGGGATAATGAAAGGAAAATGATTCTGCTTTAATGAAAGGTTTTTTTGTTTGTAGAGGGCACATCAGCTCCCAGGTCAGCTGACCCAGGAACATGATGCTGTGATTAGTCTGTCTGCCTACAATGTCAAGCTGGTGTGGAGGGACGGAGAGGATATCATACTCAGGGTCCCCATCCATGACATCGCAGCTGTGTCCTACATCCGTGATGATTCCTCACACCTGGTAGTACTGAAAACAGGTAGGTTGTGCCCAGCACAGAGATGGCTTTGCTGGTTCCATCTCTTTGACTTGAGACTCAAGCCCTTAGACTACATTTGCCCTAAGGCCTTTTTGCACACTCTGGTGGCCTAAAGGGATCTTAAAAGTAGACCTACGTTGTGCTTACAACCGGGCTCTTAGATGTGATGGGCTTAGTGAAATGGGAACAGCCATTAACTGTCCCTGGGGCAGGTGAACAAGATATTTCATCAATTTAGAAGGAAAAGTGAGTTTTGATAGAACTGGAATTTGTTTCCTTTAACATAGGGAGACCAGACTGAAAGGTGTTTCCTGCTGTCACAGCCCACCCTGCCATCTAGTCCCATTCATAAATTCAGAGCCACATCTTAAAACTAGTTGGTTTGTTTTCCCCTACTACACCTATTAAAGGCTATTTGGAAAGGTTTCCATTTGCATCTACCGCAGTGTGGCTCAGCTCGTGGCAGGTGTCGCTCCCTAGAAGGGAGACGTGGAAAACGTGTTCGTATAAATGCACTTCAGGTAGAATGGACATGCCCACATGCCAGGCAAACTTGAGTAGTAAGAAGTGTGTGTGTGTGTGTGTGTGTGTGTGTGTGTGTGTGTGTGTGTGTGTGTGTCTGTGTGTCTGTGTGTCTGTGTGTGTTGTGCAGTCCTTCTGAATCTGCATGGGAGACTGCTGTGAAAGTTAGGAACGGCTCAGGAATTTCTCCACCAGGCCTGGTTAATACATTTATACCATCCTGTGGGGGAACTGTTTGTGGGAGCTGAGTCTGAATGGCCATGATTTATTGACAGTGACGAACACTATAGAGGATAAACGAGGCTGTCATTCTGTTGATGGATTCTTGTGGCTACCTAAGCCACAATAGTGAAGCTAGTGATCTATGAAATTGTCAGAACTCTTCAGTGGGAAAAGAGCCTTGTTTGTAATTCAGACATTTTCTGTTGTATACAATGCATGGATCTCAAGCCAGATCCATGCTCTGCGCTAGGTCCTGCTGCTCCACAAGAGGAAGCTGCTTTCTTGCCATTGAATCTGTTGCCTTCCTTCTTTGCAGGCCCCCTTGCCTTGATTGTGCTGACTTAATTCACTCAACCTTCCTTGCACTCTTACAAGTATTTCAGGGTAAGCGCATGAGATAAAGGGGCTTAGGAAGATGTAGAATTATTCCTTCATTCTCACAGTATAATGGGCCAGTTAAGCTCAGCTGCAATTGACATGAAAAAAGTCACCTTTGGGATTTTGTTAGCAAAGCAGCTTGGCCCGTCTACTTTACTTGGTTAGTGCTAATTGAAATTCTTTGTGAAAATACAGAACAGAGGAATACAGAGGCAAAGTCTGATCAGTTTACACTTCTCAGCAGTCAGCATCTGATTCGCTCTAAACGAATTGAATTGCCGAAGTGACAAGTCCCTTACCAACCTCTAGAATGAAAGTAGGGAACGGATTTGCGTGGCCATCTCCCACATGCTCCTACAGAGGGAGGAAATCCTGGCAAATCGCAGGCTGCACGCATGAGGGGAAAGAGAGTTTGGATAAACAAACTCACTCCATCCCAAAGAATGGGAATCAACGTCTGGGTGGCAGCTGGCTACATGTATTGCATAGGTCTGTGCAGCCAGTCAGGGCCTACTGCCGAGGCGTCCTCGCAGGTCCCTTGGCTCCATCACTGCAGATAACCAGAAGGCTGCTTGCGTGTGTGCTCCATGGTGCGTGCCGTGTCAACTTGTGCACTTAGTCTCCACAGCAGACTCCGAGCGAGTCCCCAAAGACCACAAATCAGATGAGGATTGAAGTACAGTCATAGTTGTCAGTAGAGTCACTGAACCACTACGCACATGTACCCCGTAACAATGGAATGACTCAATCAGCGGGAAACTTCCACTGCCCCCCAGGTCACCCAAAGACTTTCTCCCCAAAACACCACTTTATGTAAGGTGCAGCCAAGTAACACACCACTCCTGACGTGTCAGGTTGCCGCCCTCTGATGCTACTTAGATACCACCCATCCCCCTGCACCTCGTGGTTTGATTAGATCATCTCTATCCATCATGCTGCCATTTTAGATCCTTTCCTGAGTCTGGGTCTGTATCTGTGGGGAGTGTGGGTACCAAGGTCTTTTTGTAATGAGCTGCTGGTGCCATGTGCTTTCAACTTATGACCAGTACCAGTTACTGTTTTGCATTCAGTATGTAGCACCAATTACTGGTCTATACCTGGACCTATTAACAATTAGTGTGTTTTGCACACTCAGCCCTGTTTGTGTCAAGTTCCGTGAGCAGCGGCCTGCCTCTGGCTCCCAGCTTAGCTTTAGATTAGCCATGTGTTGTCCATTGTTAGCTAGGCCTCAGGCCTCTCTAACCAGGCCTGTGCCACATGGACTTATGTTTTAGGCCTGCAGTGAGCTGATGGCTTCCGTACCTCCCCTCTCCTTTCCTCTCACTGACATTGATGGTGTCTCTGTTTCTCAGCTCAGGACCCTGGGATTTCTCCGAGCCAGAGTCTTTGTGCAGAAAGCTCCAAAGCGCTTACGTCGGGGTCGCTGTCAGAAAGTGGCATGGTGCCTGTCGAAGCGTGCTGTTTGGTGGTCCTGGCTACAGAGAACAAAGTAAGGGATAGTACTAGTTCTTTGGCACTCATGCTGCTACCTGTGAAATTGGGGGGTGGGAAAGCGCTCTGGTTGGTTGTATGGATTATCCTATGTAAATAAATAGCTTGGCTCCAGCCCTTGGTTACTTGCACAAGAAGTTATTGTTACTTCCCGGGAGTAGCTGGGATCACAGTCCATCCCGGTGTGAACTGTAATGTGCCCCTTTTAGTACCTTGAGTTGGGTAAGCTTGGTGCCCCACGAGCGTAATATCCAAATTGGGTTTGCCGAGATTGGGAGAAAGTGTTGGCCGAGCAGCCAGTTACAGGAGAAACCATTCTCCCTGTCCAGGAATACCCATAGCATGGCTTCCCTGAAGGCGTTTGTGCTGCCTCTGCTAACACCCTTCTTTGCATAACGCATTTATTCAGCACGTTCTTAAGGCTCCATCAGGGTGTTAGGCACTGTGCAAATAAGGAAACACTGTCCCTGTCACAAGCTTCACAGTGCAATTCAGAGCAGACTAGAGAACAGCTCTTCTTACCGTAGGTCTGTCGCTGCCCCACTTCTCTGCAGTCAGGAATCTGGAAAAGCGGCTACTACGCCGTTAGGGTGCGTCTACACAGAAGCGTTGGTTCGGAATAACAGGGAGTAACGCCTATTCCGCGATAGCTCTTTTAGAGTAGCTGTAGTGTGGACGCTCCACTGCTGCTATTTTGAAATAGCACCTTCCCCAGGGCCATTAAGACTAATTACTCCCACAGCCTCTTGGGGCTCTAAATCGAGGTAGCACGTCCACATTAGGGAAGCTTGTCTAGGACTCATTTTGAGGCTTCCCTGTAGTGTAGACACGCTATTTTGAAATAAGCTATTTTGGAGTATTTCTTCCAGAATAGCTTCTTTCAAAATAAGCATGCAGCATAGGCATACCCTTATAGTCCTCCTGAGCTTGCTGCTAAAGGGAGTGTCATGATAAGCAACCAGGGCTGCTGTTGGTCTTTTCCGGCCCAGGAAAAGGGTGAGCAATGGCTACAATGTGACTTCACTGCCAAAGGGCCGAGGTTTTGCCCTCCTTTGGCATAAACTTAGTTACTTGTACAGCTTCCCACCCCGGCTGCTGCCCCACTGCGTTTACACTCCAGGTTAACATAGGACAGAAGTGGCAAGGGAGCTGCAAGCACATGATGTAGTTTAGTCCTAGGTACATGAATGCTGTAGAAAATCATGGGGACGGAATTGGCTTTTCTCACATTCCAGGCTTGTTTCTTTACCAAGCCTTTTTACTAGCCAAGATGCTGAAATCTCCTGAACAGCCTCCTCGGGTCGGCCGTGCGCTGAGCAGTCAGTGTGGTGGCAGCAGGAGGCGACTGTGTATTTCCCAGCGCTGGAACCGGGGGTGTTCTCTCTTTAGTGTGCTGTAGTGCCATAATAGTACTGGCACTGATCCACCTGTGTGCGCCATGGGGCAGCTCCTGTGGGGGATGACTAGAAGCACGTGCGGACTCCTTCAAAGGCCTCTTGCACCGCAACCTCCCTGCCTGACCCTTCTTTCTCTCCCTCCCCAGGTAACTGCAGAGGAACTCTGCTCACTTCTCAGCCAAGTCTTCCAGATCGTTTACACTGAGTCCACAATAGACTTCTTAGATAGAGCCATATTTGATGGGGCCTCGACACCAACGCGCCATATGTCCCTACACAGTGGTATGCCCAGCACCATTTCCTTTCACTCTTACCCTGTCCCTGCCCCACACACCCCTTTTCAACCCTTTTCCACCCAGCAGTGCGTGGCCTCAGTACTTGGTGCAGTAGTGCCCTTTGCTTCCCTTCTCTGGTCACGCTCTTGGATCCAAACAGAGGCCCAGATCTTCCTGGGGCCCTGTCTTATCATTGATATGTGTTGCCAACGGCAAGTGGAGGATGCATCTCCGATGCCCCCAGCTGCGTGACAACGGGGGCCCTGATCTAACCTTTGTGAGGAGTTGAATGGCCCAGGGAACTATCTCCACTCTGATGATGATAATCTGGAGCTGTCACTTTCCGATAGTTAAGGGGCAAGTAAAGGCCTGTGGTGTGAGGCGCACTCTGGCTGTCCCGCACTCTCCCACAGATGTTGTGTATTTTGTTTCCTTTTAATTCAGTGGGAGCAGTTTGATAAAGGGGCACTCTGCAATATTACACTGTGCAACTCTTGGTCTCCTAACACTGTCCTAAGGGGCAGAAAACGCTCCCGCAATTCCCATCCTGTAGGTTTTATTTTTCATCCTCTAGCCAGGGACACTCGCAGTGGAATTACATACAGTGTCCATGGCCAGTAGGCTAGGACAGCGGTGCGCAACCTGTAGGTCAGTCTCGGCTGTCTTCTGGGGGGTGTCGCAGCACTGGGCCGGCTGCTATTTTTTTTCCCCCTTGCTTGGTGTACACGCAGCGGGGGCGAAGGGAGTGGCATTTAAAGGGGCCGTGGTGTAGGGTTTTTTCCTCTCAACCAAAATTTTCCCGGAGTCACACTGGGAAAACGTTTGCACGCCACTGGGCTAGGAAATAGAATTTGTGGTGGTAAATCGCTTGCGTGAAATCTTTCTTGCAGATGACTCGTCAACAAAAGTGGACATCAAAGAATCTTATGAAACAGAAGCAAGCACTTTGTAAGTTCATAGTACGCATTGTGTACAGGGCAGTTTGGCTTAGGGGGCTGATACCTTATTTATGTGACCATGACATGAGGTTTACAGCCCAGTAGGGAGACTTCCACAAAACACGCCCTGAATGCCTTTTGATAATTACAGCTAGAGGATTATCACAGGGAGGAAGGAGATAAATTGTTCTCCTTGACCTCTGATTTAGTAAGAAGCAATGGGCTTAAACTGCAACAAGAGAGGTTTACGTTGGACATTAGGAAAAAGTTCCTACCTGTCAGGGTGGTGAAACACTGGAATAAGTTGCACAGGGAGATTGTGGAATCTCCATCTCTGGAGATAGTTAAGAGCAGGTTACACACCTGTCAGGGATGATCTAGAATCTAGACAGTATTTGGTCCTGCCGTGAGGGCAGGGGACTGGACTTGATGACCTCTCGAGATCCCTTCCAGTTCTAGTATTCTGTGATTTGACAGTGGTATGGGAGGCTCAGTTCCCTTCTTCGGTAGCTAAATGACTACAGGATTCCCGGAGAAGTCCGTAGAATGTACTCACTTACATGGGTTACAAGGCAGCTCTTCCCTCTGAGCTGGTTCAGTTTTGTTGGCATTCTAACCCTTTCCCACAGTCCCCGCAATGCTTCCAATACAAAGGACGGACTCTGCTAAGATGAGTTGCCCCAGGACACTCCTCCAGGGTCGCTCTGCTAGACCGTAATGGAGGCCCAGATGAAGCCCAGAGCTTTCCAGGCAGCTCACCGATCTCTTTGCATTTCAGCTCCTTTCCGGAATCCTTGGACGCAGGTGGCAATTCTCCTTCTTCCTTAACGCCTCAGTCTCCGCACGTTAAGACGGTCAGTGAGAGCGAGCTGAGCACCACGGCGGCGGAGCTGCTCCAGGACTACATGATGACGGTAGGAATGTCTGCGGCGGTCAGGGCATTGTCCGCTCACGGGAAAGAGCAGCAGCACAGGCAAGGTGATGCGACCCCTGTACAGTAGTGTCAGCCAGGCTGCCGTTCTTGGGAATGCAGCCTTGCCCTTAGCAGGGAGCTAGAACCCCCCGGTGAGCTCTGCCAGTAGTGTAGCAACAGGGGGCAGGTCCCAGGAATACCCCTGGCTGGTTTTCTTCTATCCTGTCGCATTATTTCCTGGTCACCTAGGAATTGTGGGGATTGGGGTCCAAGGCCATCAAACGACTTTGCACTTGGTGCCTCAGTGGGCCGTGAACATAAGTTGGCTCTGGAAGTAAACAATCCGCGCACAGCTTCCCAGTGCTGCTTCCTCCCTCGTGTAGCAAAGTCTCTTGTGAACAGGAATGCTCTTTGATAAAAGCTCCCTGGTGCCTGTGGAGCACAGTGCTCAAGTGGTGACGCCGCCTGTATGGAAACGACTGTTGCACAGGCTATGAAATTGACATTGGGAGCACAATCGTGGGAGCAATCACTGACGTGGGTCACTGAGCTAACAAGGTTCGGAATAACCGAAGAAGGATTTAACCAAGCGCGTGCTGCTTGGTTGCCTCCTCTGAGTCCCTTTGGGTATGCCTGCACAGCAGGGCTAAAGTCGAATTAGCTACACAACTTCAGCTACGTCAATTGCGTTGCTGAAGTCGAAATAGCTTACCTCAGCTTTTGTTGCTGTCTGCTCAGTGGGAAGCTGAAGGAAGAGCACTCTTCCTCCCGCTGTGGAATGAGGGTTACCGTGAGTCTGAGTAAGAAGTCCTCCAGCTCGACATGATTTCGAAAAACAGCCGGTCCCCGAGTTGCGAACGATCGACTTACGACCGTTCTCAGTTACGACCGAAGCTGCTGTAAATGGCGGACCCCAAGTGACGAACGCGATCCGCGTTTATGAACAGCGCGGTCGTGTGTAACCCTATGGGGTCCGACGTATGAATGAACCGAGTTACGAGTAATTGCCTACAAAACCGGTTCGTAAGTCGGGAAGAGGCTGTAAAGGCTTGGCGTATAGATGCACACCATGTTTCGGAATAACGAACACTGCTGTGTAGACGTACCCTTTTAGTGAGCAGTGACGCTAGGGACTGCGTTGCTGTTCATACCTGTCCATATCAGATGATTGGCACCCTGGCTGGAGTTAGGCATGGAGGTATTGCTCTCACTGATTCCTCAGCATGCTCCAGCTTCTGGCCTCCTCCAGTGGTGGATTTCAACAATATCGTTTCCCTTTGCCAACAAGGACATCACTGATGTATTTTAAACCCTTGGTTTATGTTGGGGGAGTGTCAATCCCTGCTTTGTCCACCACTGAATGAACCTTAATTGCTGTTTTCAACGGAGCCAATTGAATGTTTTCTTCCTCACTAGCCGTGGCTTCTCCCTCTTAGAAGTAAGGTCGAATCATGCTTTGTGCTGCTTCTCCTTAGCTAAGAACCAAACTCTCTTCTCAAGAGATCCAGCAGTTTGCAATGCTCCTGCACGAATATCGCAACGGGGCTTCAATACATGAATTCTGCATCAACCTGAGACAGCTCTATGGGGATAGTAGGAAATTCCTGTTACTAGGTAAGTTCCAGCTGAAGTGGCCGAGAGATCCTCTGTGGGGAACAAGGGCTCATCCTGAGCCCTGTGGGGCTGGTTGCCTCTGTTGTTGCTGTCAAGCGCAAAGGTATCATGTGTGGGCCTTTGGAGACGTTTGGGTTGGTCTGATGCAGGGTCCTGGGAGGCGGATTCTGGAAGACATAACCTTCCTTCCCCTCTCAAGGTTTGGGAGCTGCAAAAGCTTTTGTGCTGCTTGCTCACCTTGGTTTAGTAATGGTCATTGACATCAGTCTGCAATGTGAACTTGTCTTTTGCTTTCCCCATTGAGCAGAAGTGCAGTGGGAGAAGTCTAGCCACACGTTGGCCTCCCAGCAGTTCACTGAAAACCAGTGATCAAGCTTAGTTCTTCCTGCTCCAAAGTGCAGGTCTCTGCTGTGTGAACGAGGGGCAGGGCGTTTGGTAACAGTACAGGGTCTATGGCACACATTTGAACAGTTCTGACACCATCCTGCAGTGGGCAGAGGTGCTACTTCATGCGAGTCAGCCTGTGCCTAGCATATATCAAAATGCCTTTGCAATGGATTGGTAGAAATGTTTCTGTGGAACACTTTTTAAAAAGTGTATTGGAAAGCTTGTTTGTGTTCAGACGTCCCCTTGCATTGTCTCCAACCCAAGTACCACTGTAGTTCACTGGAGAGTGAACTGCCTATTTGTCACTATCCAAGCTCAGAGAAATGCAGAAAATAACAAATAGTAAACTCTTATCAAAACTATTTCCATTTGAATAATCCGAGAAAGCATTAATAATTGGACACTGCTGTAGATTGCCAGAGCTTTGTTAAAGTCGGTGAAGCAATGCTCCCGTTACATCAGAGGAAGGACTGTCTCCTTTTCTAAATGCCTCTTTAATCTGACTGTGCCCTTTCATATTGTCTGGGCCATGTTGTGCCCTTGTCACCTTCGTGTGCTTTGCTTTCTTGAATATCTGTGCAGCTTGAGGAACAAACAGGAAGTGAGAGCGTATAACTTCCTTCTGAAGTGGCCAACAAAAATAGCATCTACACATGGCTTGGTAATGTGAAGTGGGTAGATATTTAGAATCCAGAGTAGTTTGCCTTGGCTCTGTGTGGGTCTGCACCAAGGGTGGGCACTAATTTTCACAGGGGGGGGCCACTTCATGAATTTTGGTGTGTGGTCACAGGCTGGCTCCAGGTCTCCCCGCACCTCCCTGACGGGGGCAGGGCCTTGGACAGAAAGGGTAGGGCTGGGAGCTACGGAGAGAGAAAGTGTGTGAGTGCGAAAGACACTGCATGTGAGAGACTGTGACCTAGATTGTGTGTGTGACTGTGTGTGTGTGCTGGCTGCTGCTGGGTAAGTTTGAGAGAAGCCATGCGCTGTCTGAGGGAAAGCTGTCCTGCTCTCCTCCCCCGCCCCCCTCCCCCGCAGACATGGGGCTTGGGCGGGTGGGGGAGAGAGGAGGGAGGAGTATTTGCATGAGGGAGAGGGAGAGGGAGAGAGATCTATATCTATATCTTAGAAACAGGGCACCGCCCTTAGGAGTCCCCTACCATTCATGCTCTGGACTGGAGCAGTTCTGCTGTGTCCCGCTCCTGGACCCCTGCTCTGCAGAGATGGGGTACCAGAGCAAGGGAGTCCTGACTTAACACTCCCCTCTTCTCTCCACACCAAGATGGGCTTCTTGTCAGCAGTCACTGAGACCCTGCATTGACTTCTGCAAGGCAGCTGGGAGGGGCTCAGTCCACACGCTGGTGAGACACTCTGACTCCGGACACAACTCCTCTGCATCTTTTGGAATGGCAGTCCTCCTTTCAGCTCTACCTGCTACCTCGCCCTCTCCTCCTTGAGTACGGCTTGGCCATCACCCACAGTGCAATGCACATAGGGACCAGCACTTGAAGAGAAGGTGATTTATTCCTAGACTTCAGGGTCAGAAAGGACCATCATGATCATGTACTTTTGCCCACTTGCACATTACAGGCCATGGAACCTCACCCATTCTTATAATAGACCCCAGTCTGAGTCACTGAGGTCCTCAGATCTTGGTTTAAAAGTTACTTGCACTTCACTATTTACACTAGTTGAAGTCTGTACTTGGCCTTAGCTTACCTTATGGTAACTGGAAGCTCTCTGAGATGTGTGGTCCCTGTGTGTGTTCCACTGTCCGCCCTGCTTCCGCTCTGTTTTGGCTCTTCTCTGATTCACAGCAGAGAAGGAATTGGAGAGGCAGTTGGTCCACCCTCTCCTTGATCCTCTTGAACATAGATGAGGGAAGCCAGGCCCTATATTTGGACCCAGGGACACTGCTTTCAACATTCTCAAGCTCTGGGCGCATGTGCACTCACCGTGATTACAGTGTGAAATTACACTCATTTTAAAGAACCTGTGGTTACTATAAGGTGAGTAACTTTCTCTCCCCTGGCACCTGACACAGCCTTAAGCTGCAGATGCTGCAAGGCCCCATCGCTGTGCCCAGTTTTTGGTTTGGAGGAGCTTTAAGGCTGGCGTTCGGTAGCTTATTTTCTGCCTCTCTGCTGATGAGCAGCTGTTGGTTGAGTGTATTATGTGACTGTTTTTTAACCCTGGAAAGTTTTGGAGCCTAAGGACCTTTTGAGGCTCTGGGCTTAGGGGCACTTATAAATTAAAATCAAATACATTTGAATTGGGTGAGATTTGGGGGATAGATTTACAGGAATGCAATGCCTAGTACATCCACGAAAGAGGATTGGCAGCTGCTCTCTCTTGCTGGGTTCCAGTGTCATTTCAAGGGGCTGTTATCTTTGTTCTTAATGTGAACTAAGTGAAGTCCGAAATATTAATGGCTTGACTCCTAATCCCCCAGCACCCTTTGCCTCCAAATCAGTGTTGGCTGCTCTTTGCATTTATTTTGGATTTTTTCCAGTCAATAAGTTTGAAAACATCTCTGTCCTCTTCAAGTGATTTCATATTGTTTGGAAAGCATCGTTTGAAGGTTGGCGCCTACTTGCTGTGACTCCTGCGGGCTGGGAGTGTTCATAAAGCCATTCTGTAGTACAAACGAGTCAGAGAACCCTTCAGCCACATAGCTATGCGTCTCTCTAATCGCACCTACATTACCAGCTGTGGACTATGACCACGGAGGTACTATTCTCCCTACATTGTTGCTTTTACTAGGTACCCCATCATTATGTGGCTGAGCTCCCTACCTCTGTTTACCCAAATCTCCTGTATGTGAGATACTGGTTTATGGAATTAATTGAGAGGTCATAAAAAGCGTCTAATAGACCAAACCTCAGCAGCTGTACGGCATAGGAAGTGGCAGCTTCCCTCCTGCCACCTACTGCAGTACTGTTACCTGGGGTTCTTTCAACCCAAACCTCTCAGTAACTTTTACTCTCTGCGAGGTGGTGTCAGGAAATAATTCAGGGGAAACACGGTCGTCCGACCAATAGATGGATAGTACAAACAGGACAACATAAGAGCGCTTTCACTTAAAGCGAAACTTAGTCTCAAACACTTACACACGTCCACAACAGGTTAGTAAAACACCCCCACCCTCGATAGTTACCGAAGTTGAGTGTGGCTCTCGAGTGACGCCGAGCAGGCTACCGATGGCCAGTCTTCCGTCTGTCAGTGGGGACGAAGATGCGTCCAGATGTGAAGAGTCCTCGAGGCGTCCCTCCAGGTGTCCCCAAAATTGTGCCCCCCAACTCAAACTTTCCTTCCCTATTCATCCATTAGTATTACAACAACATGTCACTCAAAAATTTGTTAGGCAAGCACTTTGTAAAGGTTAGGCAAGAGGTTTTCTTCTGATCGCTTTCATCAGATGTGGGGTTTTTTTTTTTTTCTTCTTCTTTTTCTTTTTTAGAGATTTCATGCTCGGGGTCCCTGATAGTCTTACAGGGCTCGACAATTAGTGTAATCTACTTGCCCGTGGCGAGTAGATAACAAGCCGGCACAGCCGCGCAGCACGGTA